GTGAAGAAAACGATAAAATTTTAGTTTGGGTACAATGTTGTATGACCACGCAATTGCCATTCAAAGTGTGAGAGCGCTGAAACCTGAAAAATGGCCTGGGCAGGAAGGGGTAAAATTGCCCGGTATTGAATTGGTTAAGAAGCAATGTTTTATAGGGAACCAATTGTGTATTTTAGGGACTACTCAGTGTAGTGTGTTATTGTAATATACTACAAAAAGTAAATGATTTTGACATTTTACTATACTTTTAGTGTGCTGTATTATCCAAATAATATTTTGCAGTTTTGTAAATCCTCTTTAATGGCTGTCTTTATATCAAATTAAATTTGTACAATTCATTAAAAAAAAAAAAAAAAATGATTTGAGAATATCAACTACCACATAGTAACTTTCCCAAATAAAATAATAAACTGGCTGGGTTGGATTTCCCCTGCTAATTGCTAGTGAATTCATTTCCGTCTGAACTAGAGCTTGGAAAGTATCAAACTAGATTATCTAGTCAGATTATGGAGAGGTAGGGCATAGAGGCAAACTTTTTTGTTCTTTTCGGCCTACCTTAACATAAGATAACGAATTATTCTGATTCAACATTCACCACGATCTACTTCATTGATCCAAGTTTCCCATACTTTATATCAATATCCAAAATCTTTGCCCTCTATGTGCCCTTGTCTGCAAGGGTCTGCATTAAGGGCTCCTCAACTTCCTAGTTCTAAATGAAATGGAACCAGAAAGGGATGCCCCCTGTCCTCCCATATGTTCTTATATGATATTCCAGCAATCCATTCTGGCCCCCTACATACTAAATTATCTTTCTTTGCAGGCAATTTATTATTGTGCGCAACAAGCCCACATATTTCTTTGCCCTCAATATTTGGCAAATTTCAGCACAAGAAATAATGCCCCCCCAAGAAATGCCCTTTTAAACTTTGGGTAAGTGAATACTCAGGTATTTCAGGGAACAATTACAAAGATGCCTCTATTTTTTTTTCTACATTACCAGCTCCTACTGCAAAAAATTTAAACTTGCGTATACATTGTAAGGGTCCATTCAGACCCTTTTTATGACATTGAATAATGGTTTTTTGGGTCGGGTTACAGCACCCATGAATATACATCAAGAACTATCTTCACTGAAATATGCTGGGCTTTTTTGGTATCAAGGCACTTATAGTAGTGACAAATACTATACCTATCATTAGGGGCCGGTTCACACTATAGAAACACAGTCCAAATGCTTTCCGGACACGTTTTTGCATTCGCATTTTTTACGCGTTACGGTGCGTTTAACCGTTCCAGTGCATATTTTATGCATTCCAGTTAATTTTTTCCCCTCCCTTTTTCTTCATTTTAAATAGGGACATGTGCATTCCAGTGTGTTTTACTGCATTCCAGTACAGTTCTGTGCAGAAAAAATGCAGCACGTTCTACTTTTTTTTTCTGCAACCAGAACGCACTGATGTGAACTATGACATTGACAACCATATCACCTACTTTCTGTGCATTTTGGATGCAGAAAAAAAAGCAACTGAAATGCATGTAGTGTGAACTGGCCCTAAAACCCATAAAAAAGGATATCTGTATGTGTCTTGATTTGTTTAAACAGGCAGCATATCAATAGGAACACAGGCATCAAAATGAAACCTGACAGCGTAGCCTCAAACTGCCACTGATCAGCTCTGTCTATAAGAATTGATCCTAATATGTGTCTACTTGACTTTTTATACGCATCTTTACATAATGAGTGCTGGTAATTCAGTGGAGCAAGAGTCTATCATGTATCATGTACTTATGATAGTAAATGGTCACCTGAAGCACCATGGACTTAATATCAACATTATGAGCACCTAGCAACACATCCCTACCCAGTGATTGAATGCAAAGTACTACACGTGGACCTAACTGGAGGGATAATTCTCAGGGCCCTTTCACATGGACAGTTTGCATTCTGATAAGTAGGGCATCCGCTCACAGATACCCTGCTGATCAGAGCAGAAAGGGGTGGATGACATGTCTCTATCCGCTCATTTTCTGCAGAATGGACACAGACAGACCTCACTCTACTCTATGGGCAGCTGTGAGTAAACGGACTCCACTGTCCATTTACACCCAGCTACCTCCAATCTGCCAAAATGGAAAAGAATGCAATCCTCCTCCAATTTTTTTAGCGGGCCTGATCGGACCCGGAGGTAGGCGGGTGTAAACGGACACAAGTCCATTTACACCTGGAGGTCCAAAGGAATGCCTGGACCATCTGATCAGGTCCGCTCAAACAACTGACAGGCAGACCTGATTGGATCGCCTGTGTAAATGACACTTCAGAGTTTGGAGATTTGTTTCAGTTTTGTAAGAATCAGTTTCTTTTGAGGGGTGGGGTGTGGGTCCATCTGTCCTATTAGCACCCCTACACTTACTACTATCAGGGGTTTCAGTTCCCTTCTATGGCATTGTAAAGGAAATTTTTAAATTCTGTTTAAAATTGTATTCTATTTGTATGCTTTGCCTATGTATTGTACACGGCACTAATAATGTTTCCATTACGTTTGCATTCCTTCAAGTCCTGATTAGAAATTAGCTTGCCTATGTAAAGCCCCTCGTTACCATTAAAGTACAATTGTAATATTAATATGATACCTATGTAATCATGTGTATAAAAAAACTTCAAGTGCGCCAAATAAACAGAACAGGGATTTGGAAAGATGCTGAATGTATCTTTTTGTGTCTGTTCCCTACTGCAATAGTTATTACTTTGGAACCTCTAAACAATATGAAGATAGGAGGAGTTGCCCATCTATAAAATTTTCAGTATTAATTAGTGTCCAGAACAGCACGTTTGTGATTGCAAATGATATATCCTTTTTCATATCCTGAAAAAACAGGCTATATGTTACCTCTGAAACACATAGGTGTTGATTTACTATAAATAGATACTACCATTAGACTGTATAATAAAATAAAATAAAAACTATACACAATATGATATCCTGGAGACATTCTGTACACAGATGGTGTACAGAACACCCCCCAGATATGTCATTTCCTGCTTGTGTGATTGGCTTGCTGACTTCCTCAGAAGTCTGCACTAAAATACAAGTCAGATTTCAGGCATCCCCTGCAACAAAAATGTAATTTTTGGTGAGATACTCCCAAAGGGAAATCCTGTCTCAAGGGATGCAGACCCTGCTATTTTCCTCATTAGAGCCCTGCAGCTGCTGATTGATAATGAAGCCACTCTCACATAGATTCATTCTGCACATGGACACAGACAAACATTTCTTTCTTCAGAATAACAAAAGGTAGGAATATGCAACAAAGTTTGTTAAAATCCTGCAATGTTCATGAATTACCGAGGGGGGTATGTTTTTTTTTCCTCAGCAAAAGGGGAGTTACTCTTTAATGAATGTGGTGAACCTTCCCTGTGTAAAGAATACCCAATCAGGTGAAAGGAAAATTAAAAAATACAGCATTTTTCTTGCAGATGATTGGATAATGGAAATCAGCAGAGCTTCACCACATTCTCTAAGCTTTGGGAAAACATGGCCTAAGTCTATTTGCACAGTCTATTTGCATTCATTATTTAAAGAAAATTAATGTATGTCTTCTGTGTATGAAAGTTAGAATAGACACGTGGCATTAGGATAAATTCATATAGATCAGCCTTGGGTGCCTTAGCCAAATGTCAAAAAAATTGCCAAAAATTGTGCACAAGCTAGCAGGTGGATCAAACCTGCTTTTTTTTTTTTTTTGTTTTACACAAACCTACAGGTTTCATTGTGTAACATTACAACCCTGAACACTGTGCAGCCCAGCCACCAGCATCCTAACAACTGCTGACATCATTGGTTGAAAAGGAGAACATAGGGCACCTGCACAGCATCTTTGACACCCCCCACATCCTTTGTGTCAGCAGCAGTGGAGTCGCGTTAGATGTGAGAAATGGAAAAAAATGAGAAAGAAGAAATGCTGTAAAATAGCAGTCAGACCCCCAACATAAATCACTTTTAATGTTGGGTGTTTTACTTGTGTGTGGAGCCCGTACTATGTCAAACTTTTTTTGTTTTTTCACATTTTAGAATGGGGTGCCTTGAGATTGTGCATAGCTTTTAAGGGTGCTGTAACTGGAAAAGGGTTGAGAAACACTGATGTAGATTACCAAGCTAAACTTTCAGGGGTTTAAAGAGGAATCTCTGCCCAGCCATAACTATTCTTAAAATGTCCACTCCCTCTTCCTGCTCCCTATCCTGTCTAACCTATGTTAAAAAAATATGTGTTTATTTACCTTTTTTCAGTCCACTTTGGTCCAGTCACGTGATTCTCTGTGTCAGTAAGCTGATGGCTGCAGGAGAGATGAGTGAGCACTTGACAATGGCTAGGAATCCCAGGCGCTGTGACGTCACCCATAGGCTCCCATAGCCCAGCCGATCTTGGTTCTCCCTCCTCTCCCCTGTAGCTGCCGCTGACACAAGCGAGCCAGAGCTGTGGGATCCAGACCGGAGTAGGCTGAAAATAGGTAAGTATACAGATCTTTTTTATACAGGAGAAGGCAGGATAGGTAGCAGGAGAAAGGAGAGGATATTCTCAGGAATAGTTATGGTTGGGCAGGAATTCCACAACACTAAAAGTGTCTTGGTAACCCTAGTATAACATTTTTCGAAGAAAGTTCTTTTCATTACATTGCAGCGTGTTATTACAAGCATGTTATCAGGTTCTGAAGTAAAGTAGCCCATTCATTTTCAACAGAATACACCATAAAATGATGCGTTAGCAAAAACTGGGCTTGCTAGGTGCGTGATACCATTGGAATAAATGACACCACATTTCTGAATGGGTCCTAAATGTGTCCAATGTTCGAAAATATTAGCACTTTGCACAAAATAATATACACCTAAATTTACCTTGAAAATACCAGCTATGGACAAGGTGAGACTGGATGTTTTTGAAACTAGTAGAAACTCAGAATATCCTAGACCAAATGCCAGAAGTCCACCCAATCCAAGTGTTCCCAGAAGTGCAAGTGGTTCCCGAATGTCGTGATAGCGGAACAACTGCTGTGACGTGGACATATGAAGACCTGAAGGAGAAAAACATACAAAAGGAAAACCCAGGTCAGCAAATAAGAACATAAGGCAATCACGGGAAAGCTGGATATACACATTACAATATGATTGCACAATCTGCTTTAATGGTGGTCATAAATGCTTAATTTTTTTTAAGCTGATTGATGTGCGATTTGATCAAAACAATTGAATCTGCAAATAATCCAATAGGTTTAACTGCCCTTCCAATCTACTTAGACTCAATTTCATTTGGATTCAATCAAACTGAGTCAATCAGCCAGGGCAGAAAATTGTTGATTGTTTTGCATCAATTGGCAGCGCTGTGATGCTTTGTCATCATATTTTGATCAATCAGATGAGATCATATGGTGGAAACAGAGATGCGATTGATGCTTATGATAATAAATTATGATCATATCTTATCAAAGGCCACTTGTATATGGCATATCAATCGAATGATACGCTGCCACTAGTGAGTGAATGTGCCAGGAACGAAGTCCGGAACCAGCGGATAGAGGCATCAAGATTATATAGGCAGCCGATCGCTGCAGGAGTGTGCTGCAGCACCAAACACGCAGTTTGACCTACCTATGCAGGTGGTCAACACCTTGTGGTGAGTGGGGCTCTGGAGGGGGAGCACTCAGTGGAGCACTCAACACAAAGATATTTGTGGATACGATTGATCACTTCATCACCTAGCTTCACATTGGATATGGAAGGAGAAAGTGTTTCATATTGGGACTTAAAATATTTGAATGCTGTTAGCGGTGGATTGGGACTTTAATATCCACATACAACTGCACCGTGTTTATGTATAATTATGTTTGAGACATTTAGCCACTGTGGCAGCACAGTGGCTAAATGGGTAGCACTTCCGCCTGGCAGTACTAGGGTCGCTGGTTCGAATCCCAACCCCGACACCACCTGCCTAGAGTTTGCATGTTCTCCCTGTGACTGCGTGGGTTTCCTCCGGGTACTCCAAAGACATGTTGGTAGGTTAATTGGCTCCTGTCTAAATTGGCCCTAGTATGTATATGTATGAATGTGAGAGTTAGGGACTTTCGCTTGTACGCCCCTTGAGGGTTAGGGTCTGATGTGAATGTACAATATATACGTAAAGTGCTGCGTAAATTGATGGCGCTATATAAGTACCTGAAATAAAAAATGTTTGATGTTCTTATTGTAATTGAGTTACGCTGGGAAAACTGATGTCCATGATTGGCACAATATTTGCACTCACTTAGCACTAAGCACGCAGGGGGTATATGAATATTTAATCTTCCCTAATATAAGGATGTAATAAGACCCTGAGGGGGAGGGGCACCTTTTTAAGTTTATATGCTATAGAGGTACACGTTTATTTGTGGGCCACTATCACGAATATAGTGTAGCACATTCATTCACTAGTGGCAGCGCAGCATTTATTTATGTTTGTATTCACACATTTGTTTGATACACATTTCTGGTAGTGCTAGCAACAACCAGTCTATTTCCACATTAACCACAGTCCACTATGCAGGCTCCACTTATATATCAATCGAATGGCTTGTCGGCTACGAAACAATTATTCGATCAGAAAAGAAATTGATTGTTTATTAAAGCACTTATGGCCAATGTTAAACTTACCAACAACTATGTAGTGGGAGGGCCTACCTGATTGGATGTACATTGAAGACATTGTGCAGAAGGCCCATTGCACTACATCGTAGTTGGTAAATCTAACGAAGATTGTATTCTCAGATTATAGCATGTGTAACAAGCTTTAATCGTCACTAAACAACCTGTAATTCAAAAACTGCCATTAACATCACACACCAACTACACTAACTGATGCCACTGTAGTTATATTACAATGGCACAATCAACTGCATATAATATCACATTCTCACCTTCAATGGCAACAAACAAAGGGAACAGGCTGAGGAACATAAGAGGTTGTAAGTGAAACATAGTGTCCATGGGATTCTGTAAACCTAGAGGAGAAAAATTATATACACATAAATATATTTTTTCTGATATTTGTATTGACAGCTTAAAGCAGATATAAAAGAAAGTAGAAAACGTACCTTAATTCTGCTCCCCCTCCAGCACATATTCACCGTTTCTTTATGCTTCAGTGGCTCCATTCAGCCACTGGGAAAGAAGAAAGTACCCACTACTTATGAGTATTGGAGGAACATGTGATTCCATGTGACAATAATGGTGCTTGACGATAGGTCCAGTGCTGTCACATGTAGGTGGGGAATCCTCCGCTCTGGGTAAGCTCCAACAGCAGCAACTCAGAGCTTACAATTCTTTGCTCTTGGCAGCTGACTGGAGCATTGGGGAAGCATTTAAGTGCGGTATGAGCACAATGCAGATTCACTTTACAGCCTAACCCCTAGTTTTGGTTATTAGCCACTTGCCCTCTAGCAGAAATACTGCTACAGGGAGGCAGGGCTGCGCAAAATCATGTATATATACGTGATTTGCATCGTCAGGTAGGGTGCGCACGTGCACACATGCTGCCCTACCCGTGTCGCTATTCACGGCTACAGATGTCAATCACTGGGTCCCGGCCGGCACTCAGCAATCATCGGGGAAAGCCGACAGGAGAGAAAAACAACACAGGTCTCTCTCCTGTCAGCACGGACATGCTGTTTTGTATCTCTCCGCACAGCAGAGAGATACAAAACAGCATGTCTCTCTAGCAAAACACAGCACAGTAAAAAACACACAGCACACAGTTAACCCTTTCATCACCCCACATGATAACCCCTTCCTGCCCAATGTCATTAGTACAGTGTCAGTGCTTTTTATTAGCACTGATCACTGTATTGGTGTCACTGGGGATGTCAGTGGCAGTTTGTCAGTTCCCACCCAGTGTCAGAATGCCCACTGCAGTCCCGCTATAAGTTGCTGATCACCGGCATTACTAGTAAAAATTCCAGTATATATGCTGCCATTTGTAGACGCAATTCACTTTCACATAAACCAATTAATTTACACGTATTGGGATTTTTTGTTTAGCAAAGACATGCATCAGAATACATTTTGGCCTAAATTTATGATGAAATTTGATTTTTTAAATTTTTTTACTGGATGTGTTTTTTTTTTTTTTCAAAATTATCGGTATTTTTTTAGCTTTATAGCGCAAAAAAATAAAAAGCCGCACAGGTGATCAAATACCACCAAAAGAAAGCTCTATCCGTGGGAAAAAATTTAATAAATTTAATGTACAGCATTGCATGACCACGCAATTGTCAGTTAAAGTAACGTAGCGTCGTATCGCAAAAAATGGCCTGGTCAGGAAGGGAGGTAAATCTTCTGGAGGGCAAGTGATTAAAAAATGAGATCCCCTTTTAAAAAAAAAAACAAAAAATAATAAATGCACATCTCTTTACAGGTACAATATGCATTTATTTATTTTTTTTTATTGGGAGCCTGGAAGTCATTGCATACATGATCAGCAGATCGTGGGTGCTATGCGGGGCTCTTGCAGACTGTGTGTAAGCAGTCTGCTTGTATTTCGTACGAGCAAGTAGTTACACACTAACAGGAACTACCGTATTTTTCTCTCCATAAGATGCACTTTTTTCCCCCCAAAAAAGGGGGGAAAATGTCAGTGCGTCTTATGGAGCGAATATAAAGCGGCCGGTCCAGTATTTTTGCCGCCACCATGTCAGAATACCGGGCCGGCTGCTCAGCTGTTCTCTCCTGCAGGGCCTTACCTGTTCCTCGCTCCAGCGCTGCACAGTCTTCCCGCGCTGGCTTCTGTGACAGCCGGGTGCCCACTGCGCATGTGCTGCGCTTTGTGAATGATCCGGTGTCTTCTGGGACACATGACAGGTCCCAGAAGGCGCCGGGCCATTCACAAAGCGCAGCGCTTCTCGCGCATGCGCAGTGGGCACCCGGCTGTCACAGAAGCCGGCCCGGGAAGAAGAGGGAAGGACAACTCCGCGGAAGTGGGAGTGGGTACCTGTCAAATTCAAGTACCCGCTCCCCCTCCCTCCCCAAAGGTCAGCAGTCTCTGGTCATCCCCTGCGCTGTCTGCGGTCTCTGGTCATCCCCTGCGCTGTCTGCGGTCTCTGGTCATCCCCTGCGCTGTCTGCGGTCTCTGGTCATCCCCTGCGCTGTCTGCGGTCTCTGGTCATCCCCTGCGCTGTCTGCGCTGTCTGCGGTCTCTGGTCATCCCCTGCGCTGTCTGCGGTCTCTGGTCATCCCCTGCGCTGTCTGCGGTCTCTGGTCATCCCCTGCGCTGTCTGCGGTCGTCATCCCCTGTCTGCGGTCTCTGGTCATCCCCTGCGCTGTCTGCGGTCTCTGGTCATCTCCTGCGCTGTCTGAGGTCTCTGGTCATCCCCTGCACTGTCTGAGGTCTCTGCTCATTCCCTGCGCTGTCTGAGGTCTCTGGTCATCTCCTGCGCTGTCTGAGGTCTCTGCTCATTCCCTGCACTGTCTGAGGTCTCTGGTCATCCCCTGCACTGTCTGAGGTCTCTGGTCATCCCCTGCACTGTGTCCGCAGTCTCTGGTCATCCCCTGCACTGTGTCCGCAGTCTCTGGTCATCTCCTGCACTGTGTCCGCAGTCTCTGGTCATCTCCTGCACTGTGTCCGCAGTCTCTGGTCATCTCCTGCACTGTGTCCGCAGTCTCTGGTCATCTCCTGCACTGTGTCCGCAGTCTCTGGTCATCTCCTGTACTGTGTCCGCAGTCTCTGGTCATCTCCTGCACTGTGTCCGCAGTCTCTGGTCATCTCCTGTACTGTGTCCGCAGTCTCTGGTCATCTCCTGTACTGTGTCCGCAGTCTCTGGTCATCTCCTGTACTGTGTCCGCAGTCTCTGGTCATCTCCTGTACTGTGTCCGCAGTCTCTGGTCATCTCCTGTACTGTGTCCGCAGTCTCTGGTCATCTCCTGTACTGTGTCCGCAGTCTCTGGTCATCTCCTGTACTGTGTCCGCAGTCTCTGGTCATCTCCTGTACTGTGTCCGCAGTCTCTGGTCATCTCCTGTACTGTGTCCGCAGTCTCTGGTCATCTCCTGTACTGTGTCCGCAGTCTCTGGTCATCTCCTGTACTGTGTCCGCAGTCTCTGGTCATCTCCTGTACTGTGTCCGCAGTCTCTGGTCATCTCCTGTACTGTGTCCGCAGTCTCTGGTCATCTCCTGTACTGTGTCCGCAGTCTCTGGTCATCTCCTGTACTGTGTCCGCAGTCTCTGGTCATCTCCTGTACTGTGTCCGCAGTCTCTGGTCATCTCCTGTACTGTGTCCGCAGTCTCTGGTCATCTCCTGTACTGTGTCCGCAGTCTCTGGTCATCTCCTGTACTATGTCCGCAGTCTCTGGTCATCTCCTGTACTGTGTCCGCAGTCTCTGGTCATCTCCTGTACTGTGTCCGCAGTCTCTGGTCATCTCCTGTACTGTGTCCGCAGTCTCTGGTCTTCTCCTGTACTGTGTCCGCAGTCTATGATCATCTCCTGTACTGTGTCCGCAGTCTCTGGTCATCTCCTGTACTGTGTCCGCAGTCTCTGGTCATCTCCTGTACTGTGTCCGCAGTCTCTGGTCATCTCCTGTACTGTGTCCGCAGTCTCTGGTCATCTCCTGTACTGTGTCCGCAGTCTCTGGTCATCTCCTGTACTGTGTCCGCAGTCTCTGGTCATCTCCTGTACTGTGTCCGCAGTCTCTGGTCATCTCCTGTACTGTGTCTGCAGTCCATTGGTTCAGAATATTTTTTTTTCTTGTTTTTCGCCTCTAAAACCTAGGCGCGTCTTATGGTCAGGTGCGTCTTATGGAGCGAAAAATACGGTAACTAGAGCGCTAAACAGTGCCCTGGTAGTGTGATGGATTTGGTAAAATGCCTATTTTGTTTCCTATTGAAATATATATATATATATATATATATATATATATATATATATATATACACACGCTATTTCTATAAGTTTTATAAATATTTACTTTTATACTTTAATTACAATCTGATGTGTTAACTGATTATGTGACTGCATTATCACGTGAATTAACCCATATCTATGTCCAAGTGTTTTCTCCATTCCAGATCCTGAGTCAGATACAGGAACTCACAGCCTATTACCCGGAGATTGGGTATTAGTAAAGAAATTTATGAGGAAATATTCCCTTGAGCCAAGATATGATGGTCCCTTCCAAGTTCTGCTGACCACAGCCCCTTCTGACAAGGTGGCCGGGAAGAACACTTGGATACACGCCTCCCACTGCAAGAAAGTCCCAAACCCTGAGGGAAAGGCGTCATCTACACCATGACAACTATGTTGTATATCCTTTTTCTTATGAGTCTGACAGAGGCTCAACAGGTGGATATCACCGAAATAGGTGACACCACTATATTTTGGTACAACTCATCCAACACTCATGTAGCTATTTTCACCTTTGATTTCTGTAGTATAGATCCCATGTGGTGCTATGACCATAATCTATATGATCTTGACACAACGAGCATGTTCCGATAGCAGTGACCAGGTATACATATATGTCATGGATGATTACTGGGGACCAAAAGATTAGAATCAGATTGGAAGGGATTTGGACTGGCGAGTATGCTCTTGCAAAGGCCATTATGCCTCTCCACATCCTAGCAGAAAATACCCCTGACCCAATGCCTGGCCGTAGGAGGAAACGAAAAGCTCCTTCTGGTAGTTTTGACCCACATGTGTATATAGATGCTATTGGAGTCCCAAGGGGGGTGCCTAATAAATTCAAAGCCAGAGACCAAGTAAAAGCAGGCTTTGAATCCCTGATTCCCATGATAACTGTTAATAAAAATGTAGATTGGATAAATTACATATACTACAACCAACAGAGGTTTGTGAATTACACCAGGGATGCCCTTCAAGGAATCGTTGACCAGTTAGCCCCTACATCCTACATGACATTCCAGAATAGGATGGCTCTGGACATGATTTTAGCAGAAAAAAAGGAGGTGTCTGTAAAATGATAGAAGGAACCGGAACATGTTGTACATATATTCCTGACAATACTGGCCTGAATGGTAAGGTTACTCTGGCTATAAAGAAATTGGAAGACCTGTCAGCTGAGTTGAAGAAGAACTCAGGTATCACAGACCTGTGGGATCAATATTTCAGTTGGATGAGTGGGTGGCAAAAGATACTTGCCCAAATAGGTGTAACTGTATTAATAATTCTGATTCTCCTGGTCCTGGTTGTATGCTGTGTTATACTATGTGTGAGGAAATTGATGAGCAAAGCTGTAGACAACAGTACACCTATCTTCCTGAACCAGGAGCAAGAGGATCCCCACATGATAGATGAAGAAAAACCTTACACCCCATTACGGTCCCTCCCCGCCAATTGTAATCTCACAATTTTGTAGGGATAGCATCTGACTTCCTTATGTACAAAGTCTGTGGCAAGGGAGGTGATGAAATAGTCATCACCTGTCTAACGTGCAGCATAAAAGAGTTCCAAGGTACATAAGGACAGATGAGCTAGGCTTTATAGGGACAGAGAAAAATAGTCATTTTAAGGGGGGACTGTGATGGATTTGGTAAAATTCCTATTTTGTTTCCTATTGAATATATATATATATATATATACGCTATTTCTATAAGTTTTATAAATATTTACTTTTATACTTTAATACATATGTTGTGTGAATATTTTCTGCCTGCTGGGCTTTGTGGTACTATAAGAAATCCTTGCTTAAGAAATGTCTGCTCACACACACACAGACCCCCTCCCACCGTGTGATTTGGGAAACAAAGGAATGTTTTTCTCTCTTTAAGATAAGACGGAAGAAGATCACACCTATACCATGACGGAGATTGTTTTCGTGTAAAGTGACCAATCAAAGACTAATATAATGCTTATGCTGTTATCACGTGATGTTTGCATCATTTTTCATATATAAACTCACGGTTTAATTTCAATAAATTAGAGAGAAGTTTTCACTGACCAAACGTGTCAGTGTGAGTTTCTTCATGTGCGCACATTCCAGAAGCTGGCCAGCATCATAAATTAGGACAGGAACAGATAAGCACTGGACGATTAGGTCCACGACTAAATCAGTAGTTCATTGAGAACTACAACCTGACAGGTCGATAGTTGTAGTTTCCCTTTCACAGAACTCTGTGAATGAATAACGTGGCCCGGTGGATGTCTTTTTTGAATTGTTACAGCAGACATGGGGAGAAGAGAAGAAAAGTCTACAGTCACAGCGGGGGCACATGGGCATTTGCAGCAATACATGTTACACCCTGAACATGGATGCAACATGTTAGAAAAGGTGAACTTTTCCTTTAATTTTAAATAGTGGTTTGAACCAAGCTGGTCCAAATAATTAATTTCTTTCACCAAAGTCAAACATGGACCGAAACAGGGACCAGACAAATTTTGATCCATGTATGGGGACAGTGGTTGTAGTAGTAGTTGGTATTTCTACCGATCGACTTCTGTATAGCCAGCCTGTCAGATAAGTACCGCTCGATCAGTGCTGCAGGCTATAGTTGGCAGTGCTAATCATTGTATTCTGATGGTGTGGAAGTATCCCCTTGTCAGAATACAATAGCTCAGCGGAAGTGATTCTCCCATCCACCTTGATTAAACAAGAAAACTGGACCGATTCCCCAAGCCACACAATTGAGGTGGATGGGGGAATCAGGTCAGTTTTTTTTGTTCAACCTGCTGGTTAAAATGAATCAAACAGAATTGTCTATGGGCTGCCTAACATCAGCTGTGTGCCCTGTATAAATTGTATGTAGCATGAGCTCCATAAAGTATACAGCGCTACATTCCAAAACAAAATTGAGTCAGGCTGAGCGCTACTCAGCCATTCACAGGAAGCTTTGTATTATAATAATGAATTCAAAGGTTCTTCTGAATGGCTGAGGTGGACAGGCAGGCAGACAAAATCATGATCTCCACCCCAGTCACTCAGAGGAGGGCTTACATTTATTTATAAAATATAAAGCTTCCTGTGAATGGCTGAGCAGCGTTCAGCCAGACATGATTTTGTTCTGGGAGCAGGGAAATAAATTCTGTTCCTCTGCTGGAACACAGCACTGTGTACTGTATGCAGCTGATGCTACATATAGTTGATACTGTACTCCCAGCAGCTGCAACTGTTAGTGTAGGAAATAGATTGTTTGAATCATTGGTACAAATAAACTATTTAATGTTCACTAAAACCTGGTGTTAGACTTTAAAGCTCAGAGATTGCGATTGTATTGCACCATGTGGCACCTGAATGAGTCCTATCATATTGGGATGGAGCATTAAAGACCATTAAAGGATGATTGCACTGTCATTATATACTTTAAAATATTGTGCCTTTACCTGCCTGCCTGTCCACCTCAGCCAATCAGAGGAAGCCTTTCATTCATAAAATACAAGGCTTCCTGTGAATGACTGAGTGATGCTCAGACTAAGTCGATTTTGTTCCAGGAACAGAAGTCCCCATCCCGCTGCCAGAACACAGCTTTATATACTGGATGTACCTGATACAGTTTACATCTGTTCGTAAAGGAAAGTTTGTCTGATGGGCAAGTTTGGCCCAAAGTAACTATTTAAAGTCCTAGTAAACCTGGAGTTAGGATTTAAAAAGCAATCCGAGTCAAAAAGTGAAACTAATTAATGGGATACTAATGCATTTTAGCAGATGCTGCAACTATGCTAACATAAGAAAGTTCCAAAGTTCTGACTGTAACAGAATTTAGGAAGCACTTCACAGGATCAGTCGAGTGTACATACTGAAGCCTGTGCTGTATAATGCCAGATCCTTCAGCAACCTGTATCACAAAGTACATTCAGGTTTACTCAGGTTAGAATCTGATAGATAGCTGCAAAAAAACTTCTTAGCACTGATATATTTTATTACATGAGGCTTTCTGTGCATGAAAGGCAGCAGTGGGTGTGTTTGTGAGCCCCTATCATAAGCAGGGGTTCTCAGATCCATAGATTAGAGAGACAGTGGGCTAGACTGGTACCCTGCACCAATGTCTTCATGTAAAAATGAGCAGCTGGGCTTTGGCCTGTTTCTGTATCTCAAGGTTTGATTAATTTGGACTGAACAATACTCTATTGGTCTAAAGACTAGAGCCATGTATATTCCTACTTTAATTTTGGTGCCCTTTGTGTTTCCTGTTACAAAGACCAGCCACTGTTGTTCTCCCACCTTGTGCAGCATGACTGGTCTTGTATCTGCCCCATCTCCCCATACTTTTCTACAGCCAGCTTGCAGTGGGGGAACCTGTTAGGTCCCTCCCACAGCTCTGCTCTCAGCACAGCCATATCAAGGCAACTTTTAATGCCGGTTCACATATATGTGGATTGGATGAGGTTTGAACCGCATCTAATCCACATGACGTGAAATAACATTGCTTCCTACGGTGCCTGTTCACATATGAATCACACTTGTTATCAGTTGTGAACAGGATTTCAGTTCAGGATCAGGTTTCAGCACAGTTTGCTCTCAACCTCCTCTCCTTTTCACCTCAGCAAAACCAAAAAGCCTTGCAAACCCGCATCTAAACCAGCCCTGTACCTGTGAACAGTACAATCCGCAGCTGTGTCACAAAAACCAGTCCTAAACCTGCTCTGAACCGGTCCTGAACAAGTAGATTGTAATCCACAGTGAAAGCAGACCTTAAAATATGGCACTTAAAAGGGTAATATCTGGGTTTTTTCATTTAGGTATACAAATTGGACGTACGGTCTATTGTTTGTGTTGTTGAGGAATATATTTCAATGAACATTTATGTGTCTGAAGTTTGGCTTAAAGTTTTCAGAGGCTACCCAAAAAAGAAATTAAAAAAAAAAAAAAAGGCTATTCATGATGTCTCAGCTGAAAGTTGCACTTACAGCATCTCACAGAAGTGAGTACACCCCTCACATTTTTTTGTATATTTTTTCATGTGATAACACTGAAGAAATGACACTTTGCTACAATGTGACGTAGTGAGTGTACAGATTGTATAAGTGTAAATTTGCTGTCCCCTCAAAATAACTCAACACAGCCATTAATGTCTAAACCGCTGGCAACAAAAGTGAGTACATCTTTAAGTGAAAATGTCCAAATTGAGCCCAATTAGCCCTTTTCCCTCCCCGGTGTCACGTGACTCCTTAGTGTTACAAGGTCTCAGGTGTAAATGGGGAGCAGGTGTGTTAAATTTGGCGTGATCGTTCTCACTCTCTCATACTGGTCACTGGAAGTTCCACATGGCACCTCATGGCAAATAACTCTCTGAGGATCTGAAAAAAAGAATTGTTGCTCCACATAAAGATGGCCTAGGCTATAAGAAGATTGCCAAGACCCTGAAACTGAGCTGCAGCACGGTGGCCAAGACCATACAGCGGTTTAACAGGACAGGTTCCACTCAGAACAGGCCTCACCATGGTCGACCAACCAAAGGTGACTGAACGTGCTCAATGTCATACCCAGAGGTTGTCTTTGGGAAATAGATGTATGAGTCTTGCCATCATTGCTGCAGAGGTTGAAGGGGTGGGGGGTTAGCCTGTCAGTGCTCAGACCATATGCCGCACACTGCATCAAACTGGTCTGCATGGCTGTCGTCCCAGAAGGAAGCCTCTTCTAAAGATGATGCATAAGAAAGCCCGCAAACAGTTTGCTGAAGACAAGCAGACTAAAGACATGGATTACTGGAACCATGTGCTGTGGTCTGATGAGACCAAGATATACTTATTCGGTTCAGATGGTGTCAAGTGTGTGTGGCGGCAACCAGGTGAGGAGTACAATCAAGCATGGTGGTGGGAGTGTCATGGTCTGGGACTGCATGAGTGCTGCCAGTACTGGGAAACTACAGTTCATTGAGGGAACCATGAATACCAACATGCACTGTGACATACCGAAGCAGAGCATGATCCCCTCCCTTCAGAGACTGGGCCGCAGGGCAGTATTCCAACATGATAACGACCCCAAACACACCTCCAAGATAACTACTGCCTTGCTAAAACTGAGGGTAAAGTTGATGGACTGGCCAAGCATGTCTCCAGGCCTAAACCCTATTGAGCATCTGTGGGGCATCCTCAAATGGAAGGTGGAGGACTGCAAGATCTCTAACATCCACCAGCTCCGTGATGTCGTCATGGAGGAGTGGAAGAGGACTCCAGTGGTAACCTGTGAAGCTCTGGTGAACTCCATGCCCAAGAGGATTAAGGCAGTGCTGGAAAATAATTGTGGCCAAACAAAATATTGACACTTTGGGCCCAATTTGGACATTTTCACTTAGGGGTGTACTCACTTTTGTTGCCAGCGGTTTAGACATTAATGGCTGTGTGTGGAGTTATTTTGAGGGGACAGCAAATTTACAGTTATACAAGTTGTACACTCACTACGCCACATTGTAGCAAAGTGTCATTTCTTCAGTATTGTAACATGAAAAGATATAATAAATTCTTTACAAAAATGTGAGGGGTGTATTCACTTCTGTGAGCTACTGTATCCCATATGATGTAAGATTATAATTGCTACATAAAAATTACCATAGCAGTCAGTCATCACCCACTTACCCAGCTCTGCCTTCTGCATGAGGATCTGGGTCAGAGTCCATCTGATCCCTCCAAGACAGGAAGCAGCAAGTACCAGAATGAAACCCCTGGTGTCAAATTGAGTTGACTTGAACGTGAACATAAAAAGGCCTCCGGAAATTAGTAATACCACCAGAACAAGGGCCGGTCTCTGCAGAAAGGAATATTGATAGCATAGGTTATAGTGTGCAGGTCACACAAAGTGTTTATCCATTTACATGGTGCATTTTGCTGTCCATAACAAAAGTATACTTATACGAGTGTGCATACAGCACCAGTGGAAAGAACTACCAACATGTAAGGTACCCTGTATATGGCCTTTTCTTCTCAAATCTTTTAGGATTAGAACTCCATTCACACTTGTGCGACTCCAAAGCTGCACGATTTTCAGCGTGACTTTGGAGTGCAACTGAGTGTGACTTTGGTCTGACTTGCACTCTCTGGATCAAAGTAGCATCAAAAGTCACATCAATCTAGCGCAGGCACCTTTTTGACAGGCTGCGACTTTTACATTGCACCAATTTGTACGGGTGCCATTGTAAAGAATGGGCTGCGACTTGATGTCTAAAGTCACATGACAAGTCCCACAAGCGTAAATGGAGCCCAATTTGTTTTTTAAATAATAAAATAAAAAAGAAAATATGCATTATCGTATGCTGCCATATTGTATTAAACAAGTACTAACTTAAGTCTTGTGAAATAAAGCTGCTTTTTGAATTGTGGAATTGATCCTATTTATTCCATATAATGAATGCATTTCATCAACCTGGAGAGCATGTTTATGAGAAATGCTTAAATAAACATAGCTACCTTTGCAAGGCTTTAATCAGAAAAATATTGGCAGATTGGTGCTGGTGTCTTGCCTAAAGGTAATTTAGCTGTCATATGTAAGAGTGGAACCCTATTATTCCCGCTCACTCCCTCTCCACTCTGCACATGAACCCGATGACTCACCAGTTCCTCTAACTTGAAGAGGAGGGAGAAGAAGAGGATGAAGAGGACTGCAGAGGACTTTGTCATGGTGTACCTGGTGGAAATAGAATACAAAACATGATAGTGCTTGTACAAACATCGCTCTTTGCCATGATTAATGTAAACCTTAACAACTCACAGTGACACAGTGATGTACAGGAAGCTCCAATTAGAAAGTCCAATGTCCAGAGCAGTGGCCAAAGCTGAAAATAAAAAGCAATAATTAAAATTCTGCAATGTGCAAGCCAACACTGTCAGGAACAAGTGTAATCTTCCATTTAACCACTTCCAGTCCAGATACTTTTACCCCCTTCCTGACCAGGGCAATTTTCAGCTTTCAGCGCTATCACACTTTGAATGACAATTGTGCGGTCATGCAACACTGTACCCATATGAATTTTTTACCATTTTTTTTAGATAGATAAAACTTTATTTTGGTGGTATTTATTCACCGCTGGGATTTTTTTTTTTTTTTTTTGCTATGTAAATGAAAATGTCCAAAAATTTTGAAAAAAAGTGTTTGTCTTATAAAATTTTGCAAATAATATTTCATCATAAATCTTGGCCAAAATGTATTCCATTATCTTTTTAGTAAAAAAAAAAAAAAAAAAAAGCCAAATTAGTTTATAACCAAAAATTATAATTTTTAAACATTTTTTTTTACATTTTTATTTTTTTTTTATATTATTTTTTACATACTGTCACCCTAGCAGTACAGTGTCACTATGGTGACACTGTACTACTTTTGGGGGGTGATGAAGATTTTTTTTTTTTTTTTTTTTTTTTACACTGATTGCTTTTACACCCATATAGGATGTAAAAGCAATCATTTCTCTCTCTCTCTCTCTGTCTGCATTATTGCAGCCATTGAAAACTGTGATTGGTCACAGCTTGTCACATGGTACAAGGCTGCTGTGAATAGCATTGTACCATGTGACCTCTGTGATCATTCACAGATTTCACACGTAGTAAGCAATGATGTCACAAGTGACATCTTGCTTATTACTTTGCATGTGATCACTGATTGGCCAATCAGTGATCACATGATTGGGACCTTGTACAGAGGTCCCGTCCAACAATCGGTGTTTCACTGTGTCCGGAGGACACAGCGAGCACCGGATCGCGGTGCGTGCGCTCCCAGGGAGCGCGCACAAGCAGGGTGCGGGGAGGCCGTTTATAAACGGTCACCCGACCCTGCAGTGCCACCGTCCGGCCGTTTATATACAATGGCCGGTCGAGAAGTGGTTTAAAGTGTGTGTGTGGATAAACTAGAAAAAAAAAAAAAAAAAAACACCACATATGCATACATCTCTGGAATACCTGCTCAAAGCTTTATCCCTTTAAAAACACTGCAAGTACAAAAAAAATGCCTGATGATCCTGCCAGAAATCCAGTAAGCTTTTAGCTTCCTCTAAAGGGCTGCCAATACTGCACTAGAGAACTTCGTCTAACCCTACCTCTTCAGCCTTCCCCTTAGGCATTCTCTGATTTCTTTCCCAGCAAAACAATGGTGCTACCTTGACTCTCAAAAGCCTGCCCACATAAAGGCAAACAGGTTGTTTACTTTTCAAAAAAAGTTGCGCTCTGCAGGGGAAATTTTCTCAGAGATTAGTGAATATGTCAATTGTTCACTTTGCAAAGAATACCCAATCACATGTAAGGCATAAATTAAAAATGCTTGCACGTGATTGGATGATGGAAGTCAGCTTCACCCCATTCACTAAGCTCTGGGGAAATTTCCTTGCAAAGTGAACAAGTTTTTTTTGCCTTTAGTAAATCACCACTGTGTGCAGGGAAAAGCCTTTTGAGTGATGAACATCTGGGAGCATGACTACTTCACTAGAAACTGAAAAAACACCCACTGATCTCTCCTCCCAGCAGCTACTGGAATGTCACAAGGTGTAAAGAAAGAGGTTTCTCCCTGCAAGAACAAGGTAAAGCAAAATATAATGCAAATATATGTTCTAGAAGGGAAAAATAAACATTAAAGATCTGTACACAAAAGGGGTCAATTTACAAAACATTCACTGCATGAATATCAGAAGCATTTGTGCAGTGGAATGAAATGCAGTAGCAACCATGTTAAAGTGATCTGGGTGGTTGTATTGCCGCCTGATCACTCTTACTGTGCATGCAGTGTGCCCACCCCCTTTTCTCCATGGTTCCATGGCTCTCATGCTCTTCCCAGGAGCTCAGTACCACAAAATAGTCTCAGGATAGCAAACTGGAAGAGATCGAGGAACATCTGTTTCCTGATCTCCTCCGCTGTTTATGAAGCCAGAAGCACTCGTTCCACAGCTGCTGTGTCTAGGGAAGCAACTAATGCAGACCCACAATGCCTCCATAAAGAGAACCTGTCACCTGCTCAAGGGTATCACATAGGGGGCTGGTTAATTAAAGCGGAGTTCTAGTCACAATTTAAAAAAAGTTAAGTCAGCAGCTACAAAAAAAATTTTATTTTTAGGTTTGTAAGTTTTCAAACTGATGAGATGAGTTACTGCTGTAACTTAAAACTAAAAGGTTTTTTTTTTTTTTTTGTAACATAACATATTATACTTCCCTACTGTGTGCAGTGTTTTTGCACAGCATAGCCTAGATCCTCCTCTTCTCGGTTCCCCCGCCAGCACTCCTGGCTCCTCCTGTCAGGTGCCCCCATAGCAAGCAACTCGCTGTTCCCAAGCTGCTGCTCCGTGTGTCCATTCACACATGGAGCCAAGGCTTGGCCCTGCCCCCTCTCTCCTCATTGGCTGACTGGCTGTGATTGACACCAGAGGGAGCTAATGGATCCCGACTGCTGTCTCAGCCGATGAGGATGCAGAGACCCGGGATAGTTGAGGCTGTTGTGCACATCGATGGATCGCGATGAGGCTCAGGTAAGTAATGAGGGGGCTGGGGGAACTGCTGCAAACAGAAGGTGTTTTACCTTCATGCATAGAATGCATGAAGGTAAAAAACTTTGAGCTTTTGCAACCACTTTAAGCTGGCCATACACGTGTAGATTTTCGTACGAGAATATTCGTATGGAAATTCTCTGCACATTCGATGAATGGACGAATGTCGTTTGAAGATGGTATTTTGCTTTGAACATTTGATTTTAAAATGTATGTAATTTTGGAACGATAACTGCATACACTGGCCGAAAATTCATTTGATCGAGAATTGTTTCCCTTCCTGCCCCTCCGAATTTTCCTGTCACTGCGTTTGAAAAACAAACATCGATTTGACCCCCACTAACGATTAGAAAATCATACAAATATTCATGAAATGAATATTCTCAAACATAAATCTATACATGTATGGTCAGCTTCAGTTGTAAACATCATTTTGAGTTTCTGGGCTCTGTAACCAGTGTGCTTTTTTTCAACAGGAGGTAAGGACACATTAGAAAAAAAATGTGAAAGGCACCCACAGCTCTACCAAATTGCTAAAAATTCAAATCGAAGATAGTAATATGTTATATTTACTTAGGTCAAATATATTGTATTTCATGACCATAGTAAATAAAGATACAGTGCATACAAAACCACTAAACATTCAGTTTAAATGCCACATGGAGTTTCTCTGTAATAAATTCATTTGGATTTGTATACATAATTTCAGCAAAAACTGTGGCAAACTTTGCGGTAGCATAGAGAAATTAATATATTCATTTTTCAATTCAGAAACCAGATAGAACTTTCTCTCTTTGGCTAACTTCACTTCCTTTTCTCACCTGTCTAGAAAATAATTATATTTTCACATTTCACAGACCTCATTATTATACCATGGACAGGACCCAGCAAGCTATGGGCTGGGTTCACACTTGTGCAATTGTTTGCGGATGAATTGCACCCGTTTCCATACCAGCAACCACCTGTAGCCAAAACGCGTTCCTTTTTTTTTTTTTTTCTTTAAGACACGCGAGGCTGCCATCCATTCTTAGTGCACCCCCATGCATCTAAACCTGCAGTGCATTTGCAGATGTCAGAAATCACATGGTACAAAAGCACCATGCACCTTTTTACAACTGCAGCTGCAGGGAAGTATTTCCTGCATTTCCCGCACGTACAGCAGCCCGTTCAAGTGAAGGAGCTGCTGTTCCCACACAAACACCAGCCACACTGATGGTATAGGTGTGAACCAAGCCAGGAATGTTGTTTGCACAACAAACAATTTAAAAAACATACATGGTAAACATCAGTGTCCAAGGACATTTCTGTTTCTTAGCTATTACACATTGGTTGGTGTGAACTTCAGGTATACACCAATCTGCTAATAAAACTTTATGACCACCCACCTAATATTAAGTAGATCCCCCTTTTGCCACCAAAACACCCCTAACCCATCGAGGCATTAACGCCACTCTGTGGTATCTGGCACCAAGCTTTTAGTAGCAGATCCTCTAAGTCCTACAAGTTGCAAGGTGGGGCCTCTATGGCTCAGACTTGTTTTTCCAGCACATCCTAATGATGCTCAAACAGACTGAGATCTGCAGAATTTGGAGACCAAGTCAACACCTTAAACTTGTTATATTCCTCAAAGCATTCTTAAACCATTCGTTCAGTGTGGCAGGGTGCATTATCCTGCTTAAAGAGGCGACTGCCATCAGAGAATACAGTTTCCATGAAGGAACAGTGTCTAAGTAGGTGGTCAAATAACATCCACATGAATGACAGGACCCAAGGTTTCTCAGCAGAACATTGCCCAAAGCATCACACTGAAAAGAAAATGTGATTCATCAGACCGGGCCACATTCTTCCAGTGCTCTGTGGTCCAGTTCTGATGCTCACCTTCCCACTGTAGGTGCTTCAGGCTGTGAACACGTGTGAGCATGGGTACCCTGACTGGTCTGCAGCTACGCAGTCCCAAAAACACAACAAATTGTGATGGACATTTTTCTACTTTCAACACATCATCTCCAGAGACAACATGGTTACTTGCTGCCCAATATATCTCACGGACGTCTAGATACCATTGTAACAAGATAATCAATGTTATTCACTTGTCAGTGGTCATGAAGTTATGGCTGATCAATGTATGTAAAATGCACCAATGAATGCTGTTATATATTCATTAAAATTTCAATACAAATGGAGCATATGTTAAAAAAAAAAAAACTGCATAAGAACAGGCTAACTTCTGGATAATCAACAGATCTAGAGATATGGATTGCTGACTTTAAATGAGAAGCTCATATACTTTCCTGTATAAGTCAAGGTTGGTCTATCCCCACTCTTCAATCAATAGGAAAGTTCAGCATAATAACGGGCTGGGCCACTGTAAAGTGTACTGGAATACTGATTGCTATGATCAAAGGTGAACTCCAACATTCCCTTCAGTCTTCCGCAACTGTACAGGCTTTAAATCTGTACTGGAATTACTTACTCTGAATTTACTGCATACTGTGATCTTCCCATAATGTATATTAAAAGCAGCAAGTCAGATAGAGGTTGTCTCATTTCTCACGCGGTTTTATTTCCCGGCTGGAGGAGGTCCAGCATCATCTACCCCTTTCCTCTCCAGTCTTTTTGTCCCTGACCTACCCCTTTCAATAATTGGATTTCAGTTCTTTGAATCATGGAGGCTCCGTATCACATGTGAGCATTACCTAAGGTGGTCTATAGGTCTATAGGTGGTCTAAATGCAAATTTAGCCTGCCTAGGAGTGCCCACTCCTTTAGGATGGGATTTACCAATCAAGGCATTTTAAAATTTGCATACTGAGATCTTCCCATAATGTATATTAGAAGCAGCAAGTAAGATAGAGGTTGTCTCATTTCTCACGCGGTTTTATTTCCGGGCTGGAGGAGGTCCAGCATCATCTACCCCTTTCCTCTCCAGTCTCTGTCCCTGACCTACCCCTTTCAATAATTGGATTTCAGTTCTTTGAATCATAGAGGCTCCGTATCACATGTGAGCATTACGTAAGGTGGTCTACATGCAAATTTAGCCTGCCTAGGAATGCCCACTCCTTTAGAATGAGATTTACCCATCAAGGCATTTTAAAATTTGTATAACTCCTTCCAGGAGTCAGCCCACTGCTTGTGTCAAGGCTGAGAGCTCTTGAGAAGAGTACGGAGATAAGGTGCTGTGATGTACGGCACCCTGCCCGTCCCTCCCACCAACCATGATCTGCCAGTATTGTATAGCAGAGAGGCCCAGTGATATTACTGGGTCTGAAATAAAAGTATGTAATAAAACAGAGAGGTTTTCTTTAAAATTTTCATTAGCAGGTTGATTATGAGGAACCAGGGAAGGCAAATTGTAAAGCAGATTGAACGTAAGCTTTAGGGCCAAGGTTGGCTGAAAAACCCAAGTTCTAATATTAGCTTTTATTTTTCTATGTGATCAATAAAGAAGTTGCATTGGATTTGTATAGAGTGCTGGCAAATTTGGCTTATGGATATTATGCACTATTGAAGGATTTAAGCTGTACATTAGACATGCATGATATTGCCATGCTAGCCTTTATTTACTTCTACAGGGATATTTGAACACCTGCATGCGATTTTCGCTGCTTGTGTCTGTAGAAAGTTGTAGGTATAAACCAAGACCCACAGAGCAGGTGCAATGTTGGAATGTCAAGAAACCAAAAGATTAGAATATATGGTACAATACAAAGAATAGAATGTTGCCTGTACCTGTAGGGGCCACTTTTTTGAGGTAGTCTGACCACGGCAGGATAACGCGTGCACGGCCCACTATAGCATGTCATCAGTGCGCGACTTACCGCTGACATAATGAAAATCATGAGCAGATGCACAAGAGTCATAAATAGAGGCAGGTGAAATCTCTGCAACAAAAGGGAAAAAAAAAAAAGAAGTAGTGAAATGCGAATCATAATGCACATTTTGTTTTGTACAATACACTCCAGTGCAACATGAAAATGCTGCATCAGCCCTGACCTGGGGATGCAGCCTGTCTTATGAGTGACTAATATGTTCATGTTCTCACTCAACTTTGCAGCATGTCGCAGTGTTCATTACATCCCTATAATTACCAGTATTTTCTGAGTCAGCAATTTTCCTGCTTCTGAACACCACTCCCTGCAGATGTCAGAGAGGGAAGTTGTACACATACAGAACAAGAGCCTACAATCTTGTCCGGGAACACACTGAGCCCTTGGTCACACAAATGCAGTGCGGGAAATGCAGCAAATCCTTTTCCCGCACCGCATTGCAATTGCACGGCGTCCATGCGATCTGGTACGGGTGTCAATATTAAATTAACGACGTCCCCAAACCAGATCGCAAAACACAGTGCGATTACCAGAATTTGCATTGCATGTGTGAGAACACCCATGCAATGCGAACCAGGTGTGGGGGGGGGGGGGGGGGGAAAAAAAAAAAAAAAAAAAAAAAGTCCTGCACCTTTTTGGTGAGGATATGATGCGATTCGAGCTATACAAAATGTATGGCTCAAATCACACCGCACAGACATCACATGTGATTTGCACAGGAATGCAGTGTGGTTCCTCTGCGAATCACATGCAATGTGCCACACCGCATTAGTGTGAACCCAGGCTGACAGTCTGAGGAATCTAGCTGAGATGGATTTTAAAACTACCTCAACTGCCCTCCACCCTTTTCTGTGCTGACATGTTTAAAAAAGGGCACATGTGCAGATGTGCCGCTGATCTCTTCCAGGCATTTGGTTGCTGGCAGAGCAGCAGCATGTCCGCACAAATGATGCCAGCTTCTGGTGGATGGGCACTGTATTGCCACGCAGCATTTGTACACAATTGCCGACCTACTAACACTGCTTCCTGGAATAGCTATGACATAGCAATCCCAGGAGGCAGAGGGGTCTGGCAACCCAGAAGTGAAGTAAAATGTACCATTAAAAAAAATTAAAATGATAAAAATAATAAACATGTTTACCTTTTGAGGAAGGCGGGGAGGGGAGGGGGGTGGAGTAAACAAAAGTAAGCCAGTGTTTATCTCTGCTTTAAACTCAGATTATGTTTAAAACAGTAGGCCATCAAGGATGTAGCTGAACTCCAGACAGAGAAAAAAATAATTACAGCATTCATCTAAAAAAAACACTGTAAATGTAGTTTGAAAGGCACCTGGATTTGCCTTTACCTTCCTATAACTGAAAGCACAGCAGCACAAAGAGAGAAAGGGACAGCAATAGGAGCACAGTGCTGTCAGACTAACACAGAGAGCTTGGCGACAGGAAAGTACAGGAATGCTCTCCTTAGTGTGTCCCGACTAATTTAGCTTAGTGCTACGTGGGTGAGATCACCTGCGATTGTTTGCTTCTTGTGTTACAATCCCTATAAATATAAATGTTTTTAGATCAGCAACAAAGTCAAACAAGTGGGGTTTTTTAGAAGAGGAAGAATTCATCAGACATTTTGCCCCAATACAGTTTTCCTTTGACCAAAGTTGAGAGCAGTAGTTTGCATTTAACAACTTGCCTGGAATATCAGCTCAGTTTAGTTACAACATATCCAAATACATAAAGCATTTCAGTGAATGATTTTAACTGTAGGCCACAGCTATTTCTGAATACCGTATATACTCGAGTATAAGCCGACCCAAATATAAGCCGAGGTACCTAATTTTACCACAAAAAACTGGGAAAAAACTATTGACTCGAGTATAAGCCGAGGGGGTGGTGGAATAGTGCTCCATCGTTGGTGTCAGTGGGGGGAGGAATAGTGCCCCATCGTTGGTGTCAGTGGGGGGAGGAATAGTGCCCCATCGTTGGTGTCAGTGGGGGGAGGAATAGTGCCCCCATCGTTGGTGTCAGGGGGGGAGGAATAGTGCCCCATCGTTGGTGTCAGTGGGGGGAGGAATTGCCCCATCGTTGGTGTCAGTGGGGGGAGGAATAGTGCCCCATCGTTGGTGTCAGTGGGGGGAGGAATAGTGCCCCATCGTTGGTGTCAGTGGGGGGAGGAATAGTGCCCCATCGTTGGTGTCAGTGGGGGGAGGAATAGTGCCCCATCGTTGGTGTCAGTGGGGGGAGGAATAGTGCCCCATCGTTGGTGACTCCTGCTCCAGCCTGGGCTCGCTCGCTCCCTCCCTCTCCCATGGTACACACTTACCGGTCAGATGTCTTCCTTCTCCGGCCGCTCTCCTCCTCTTCACTCGCTCGATCTTCGCGGTGCCGCTCGGCTCCTCCTCTCCAAGCTCCACCTCCTCGCCGGTGATTGGGCGCCTGTGTGCCTCTCCTGAGCTACAGTTCCGGCGGCCAATCACCGGCGAGGATTGATCCCGGGGGGTGTGTCCAGATGACAGGGACGGCATGTCATCTGCAGACGTTGACTCGAGTATAAGCCGAGGGGGCCGTTTTTCAGCACAAAAAATGTGCTGAAAAACTCGGCTTATACTCGAGTATATACGGTAAATAAAACCATTAAAACATACATGATTTCAACAACATGTTGCATTCTCCTTTAGAGACATTAGGGGAAGTTCTAGTCTCATTTTTACATTTAAAGCAGTATTGAACCCAAAACCAAAAATGTAACATATTGTAGCTTACCAATCATTAGATGTGGTGGCTGCATTCGTTTTTATTTCCCTCTGTTTTCACCTGATTATCTGGCCAGTAACATACCTCCTGCATTAGAGTGCCTACATTCAGGATAAAAGGAGCACAGGGGGGAAACTTTGCATAGCAGCATTGCTGATCTGGGGAAAGGGGAATGCTACATGTACTAGCAGATTTAGATACACTAACAGAAGCCAAACTACTCCAGAAAGTACTTTAAAAGCAGTTACAGCAATCAGTTTTTTTCCTTTTGGGATAAAGGTTTTACATCAATAATTAAAAGCTGACCATTGTAAGCACCCCTTTGGCTCAACCCTCAAGCTGCTACATCTGCAGAATTGTTTGTTCTGTTGAAAAACAACAGACTTACTGACTGCATGAAAATAAAAGTAAAGAAGACCTAAAAAAGAAAACAAATGCAGCCATTAAATCTAAGAATTTGTAAAACTGGAATATAATGAATGTTTACATTTGGGTTTAATAGTGCTTTTAATTTATGTCGCTAAAACAATGCTAAAAGTATGTTGTTTACAGAACTCAGTCAGCAGAGCAGCGACTCACCCCTATCATGGCTAAGTTCAAAGTTTCAATCAAAGGGAGTTGAAAAGCAAGAAGCTGCTCTGCTATGCAGTCTTTTATTGTAATATGAAGACTGTATACATGTAGTATATAAAAAAAAAAAAAAAAAGATATAATACAACAATTTGATTGTCAGTCACTGAAGATGGAGAACTGAGCAATCAGTGGTCTTTGATCACTCTGTTCTTGGTCTTTGATGTGGCGGGGGACAGATGCAGCATCCGATTGACGATGTATTCACCCTAGGTGAACATGTAGGTGTTTTTTGCTTTTTTTTAAACCTGAACTTCTCTTTTAAATATAGGATAAAATATCTAGGAAGTATAAACAAACCTTATGCTTCCCAGATCAAGCTGTGCTGTTTTTTTAAATGTACTTGCGATCACATGCTTTTAGATGCAGTTAGAGTATCTAACTTGTCCCTGGACGCACATAGTTCTAAACCAAATGGACCTAAAATTCAAATAAACACACAGTGTGAACTATACCATTTACAATTATTACATATATGTATATGCAGCAGCAGAGTGCTGTACCACATTAGACAAAGTAGAAGTTTGGATTCTGGGTGGTATCATTTATTGGTTATTTAAACCAACTGCAGAGCAAGCTTTGGAGGCATGCAGTCCTCTTTTCAGGCAATGCAATGTGTCATATACAGCGGGTAAAATAAATGATTTCAGGGGTGTGGAAATTTTTGAAAAAACTACTTGTCCAGGGACTAAATTGGGGCTCCAATCTACTTGTCTCACATGACAATCTACTTGTCCAGATAAAAAAAAACACATTTTAAGAAGAACCGTATTTAAATGTGAGGTGCTTTTAGGAATGTCTGGAACTTTTAAAATCAAAAAAGGGGCTTTATGGCAGCTTAAATGTTTAATATTTTTAACATGAGGCAGTTTATCTCCTCCTCACCTCCCTGCCTGTCTCCAGCACTGCACCCAGGGACTAGCAGGGAGAACAGAGACCTTGCAGTGTAATGAACACAGATTGGGTCCTCATCAGGAAAGGGGCATGTCGGCCTTATCCTTTATCCCTTTTGCTGCTAGTGCCCCATGTGATGATTTTTGGTGAAAGGTTATCTTTATTGAGATATCCAGGGTGTAAAAGACCCTGCATGTTTCCCCTGTACTCCACTGAAAGTAAATTCAGTGCACATCGCACCGCATTACATTCTTTCCCAGAATCTATGGCCAGGGAATCTGTCAACGGGGACCCGGAAGTGACATAACATCACTTCTGAGTCAGGACAAGAAGGGGAGCAAATGTGTCCATTATCCTCCCTCCCCTTTAGCCGGCGGCGGTGAACCGATCCCGGCCCTGCAGATGGGCAAGCAGAGCCCAGGAGACATCACGCAGGAGGGGCAGAGGCTGGCACTGTGAGCTGTGTGAAAGCAATCGGGCAGTAGCGCGGCCATCTGAATACTTTCACTTGACAGGTGAGCCCTGCTGCTTGCCCACAGCAGGGATAAAGGTTAAAAAAAACTACCTGCCCAAACTACATGTCCCAGGTATTGGGTGATACAAATTCAACATTCTTGTATTTTGAACACATCACCATTTTTCTCAGTAAATATATTTCTAAAGGTGCTACTGACATAACATGTTCACCAAATGTGTCAGTAGCAACCCATGCAATCCATACATACAAAAAAAACCAAAACAAATAAGTTCCGATATTAGTTTATGTGTAATAAAATGGAATGGCAC